CCCAAAAAGTGCAAAGTGTACTCATTCAGCTACGAAGAACCCTAACCCTAAACCCTAAACCCCAAACCCTAGCCACTAAGGGGTTTAGTTCATTGCGAGCTCATGAAATTTGGGGGGCGGGAAGACCCGCGAATGGATCTGAGGACAGCAAGCAAGGCAGGAAGAACATCCGGAAACTCTGGCCTCAGCCCTTAAAGACCGTAGACCCGACACCCTAAACCCTAAACCCTAAACCCTAAGCCCTAAGCCCTAAACCTTACACCCAAACAGCTCAACCCGAACCTCATTGGATGTCCTGACCTGGCGTGGCATTGCTGCCGTGAAGGCCCACACGGCCGGGCGCGTGCCATCAGCAGTCGGCTTCAGGTGCTCCTTAGCTTGCGGTTTAAGGGTTTAGGGTTTAGGGCTTAGGGCTAGGGCTTAGGGCTTAGGGTTTAGGGTTTGGTTTCAGGTTTATAGGGCTTCACTCTTTTTTTTTTTTTTTGGGGGGGGGGGGGGGGGGCTCAGGGTTCCGCTTTTGGCTATGGGTTATCAGGGTAAGGGTTAGCAGTGAGGGGGCTAGGGGGCTAGGGTTCCCACACTTCTGGGAGGGTCCAAAAAAATAGAACCCCCAAATAGTCTTATTCAATAATATTCTAGTTAAATAAACACTTATACCCATTGTTCCAACCCACAATGACAATATTTCACTGGTTTTACAAGTACCCTATACTACTGTGGGGTCATTTTGAGGAACCTTTACTGGGGTGTACTTTGTGGATCCTCAGGGTTTAGGGTTTAGGGTTTAGGGTTTAGGGTTTAGGGTTTAGGGTTTAGGGTTTAGGGTTTAGGGTTTAGGGTTTAGGGTTTAGGGTTTAGGGGTTAGGGTCAGGGTTTGGGGCTAGGGACCTGCAGTGTCAGGCTATCCCTAAACCCTAAACCCGAAAACCCTAAACTCTAAGCTTATAGGGTTCAGGGTACAGGTTGTTTTTTTAGGTTTAGGGTTTAGGGTTTAGGGTTTAGGGTTTAGGGTTTAGGGTTTAGGGTTTAGGGTTTAGCGTTTAGGGTTTAGGGTTTAGGGTTTAGGGTTTAGGGTTTAGGGTTTAGGGTTTAGGGTTGAGGGTTTAGGGTTTAGGGTTTGGGGTTTGGGGTTTAGGGTTTAGGGTTCAGGTGTCTGCTGGTGCCCAAGATGCGGAAGGACACCAGAAGGGTGGTGCAATCTGCCAATGGCCATGCCATGGAAAACCAAGCCCCTGCGCATCAGGTCGGCGAGGAGGCGCAGGGGATGAGGATTTTGCGCAAGTTTAGGAAGGGTGTAGGGTGTAGGGGTTTAGGGTTTAGGGTTTGGGGTTTAGGGTGTAGGGTTTGGGGTTTAGGGTTTGGGGTTTAGGGTTTAGGGTCTAGGGTTTCGGGTTTAGGGTTTAGGGTTTAGGGTTTAGGGTTTAGGGGTTGACGGATCCGGGTTCACGGTTTTCAGGGGCGAGGCTTCCGCAAAGCCTCCTTCAGACCCAAAAAACCCTGGTTCCGAAAAACTCTAAACCCTAAACCCTAAAGCATAACACTCAGAAGCCCTATACTTCGTCCTGACCGCAAACCACCCCCCCCCAAGAAAACGCCTGAAACCCTAAAGCCCCGAAGCCGTGAGATCCTCAAGCCCAGATGTCCGAGAATAACCCTAAACCCTAAACCCTAAACCCTAAACCCTAAACCCCAAACCCTAAACCCTAAACCCTAAACCCTATCGCCTAAACCCCTGGGCAGGTTTCCCTACCCCCTGGGCTGGTTCCAAAAAAGTAGATCCCCTTAAGGGTTCCCAAAAATGACCCGACGGTAGAAGCGGGATTCCTTGAAAGGGTTCCTCAGAATGACCCAGTAGTAGTAAAGGGATCCCCTTGCTAGGGTTCCTTAAATATGACCCAATACTAGTGTAGGGTACTATCTGTTCTATTTTTGGATCCTTACATATGACCCAATAATAATGTTTGGTACTATTTTGGGGGGGGCGGGCTCTAATTTTCAGATCCTCCCAGGATTCTGCCTATACCTTGTAGGACCAAGTGAACCCTACGAGGGTTTATGGTTCATGTGCCTTCGTAGGAAATATAGTAGTATAGGGTAGATGATGTAGGATTTATATTTCTTGTACCCCCAAAAGGACACCCAGTATATACACTCACCAATATTGAAAAGGAACCTTATATACACTCACCAAAAACAGGAATATAAACCCTGTTTCATATGACCCCAATTTTCGGGTTCATTTGGTCCCAAGGGTATGTAAGCGTGAAAAGCATTGTGTCCTGAGACTCCTGTAACACTGAACACCAAACACCCCATCACAAGTTTCAAAGGACTAAAGGAGGGACCTTCATAAGGGAACCTAGGGGTCTATACTACTACTGGGTCATTTTGCGGAACCCTTAAGGGGTTCTACCATTCATGGGGGGTTTGCGAAGATAAGGGAGCCCTCATACAGCCCGCCAAATAGTAGAATTCCCTTATAAGAAGGACCCCAATAGGG